CTGAAATCGAATTGGTAGTCAGGGATACATTTTCTATTTAGTATTATTGGATGAATTCTAGCTAGGATTAGTTTTTCAAAAATTCTAGAAAGTACTGATTAAAGGCTATCGTTCTATATGAAGTAACCAGTTCCGGTAGTTTAATAGATTAGATATTAAAATAATCTCTGCTAGTTTCCATTGGAAAGGAAAATAGAAGAGACGCAAGCATGCATTAAAAACAATTGTTAAATATCTTGGTGCATTAGAGGGTAATATTCTGATCATTTTTCCTGTGATATAATCAGAACCAGGAGTTTTTCTATTCTTAATATTATTAATAAATTGTAATACTTCCTTTATTTTCATTGATTTGATCGGTATACTATCTTAAACGTCAGATCCTTCTTGTAAGATTTTTTCTTCTTCGGTGATTATTCTTTGGTGAGGCTTGAATACTATAATAAAATGATTTGCAAACGTTTCAGGTTTTTCCTCGACCGATCTTGCCTAGTTACTACCAGGTTTCCTGATAAGTTGTATAAATGTAGTTGATCTTGTAAGTCGTTTAGTAACTTTTCATAATGAGTAATCTGTTGCTTCTGTAGGACTCGGTGATCTGAGACAATTCTGCGTTTGTGTGTTCCTTTCTTCATGTAACATTTTCTTTAAATCGTTAAATGCTTTATTTACTTTAGTTTTATCTTGCCTCGATCTAGTTATTTGATACCTTTTTGTTAATCTTCTTTTCTTTGATTTTTTGGGTTATTTTGTGGACGTAACTGACTGTGTTTAATTTTTATTTATTGTGTTAGAGTATTTGTTAATAGTGTCATTTAGAATTACATTGAGTGAGTTGATGCTGCTTTCTACATTAGCTGTTTTAAGAGGAACTTTGTACGTTATGCGTTCGTCTATGTAGGTGTATATTTTTTTAATTGACTTTTATGTTATTATTTACTTTATTCAATACTTGGAGATGTAGAGTAATAAGTATCAGCGAATGATCTGATCATAAATCAAAGCATGATGACTCTTCAAAATCATTTTTGTTTATACCTTTTACTGTAGCAAAGTCAATAAAATCTGGAAGCTTGTTTATATATATGTAGGCCAGCAGTATGTTGGTTCTTCAGTGAATATCGGAATTTAGTTATTTTTTTGTAGTATTTCATAGATTACTTTGCCTCATGTTGGAATTGATGATCTTGATCGCCACAACGGATGTTTCACATTACAATCGCCTCCTACTATAAAATGATTTTCTAGAGTATTAAAAAAGTTAGTCTAGTTTTATTTTGTAATTTTTTTATTTGGAGGACAGTAAACAGCTAATATTCTTATCGCTCCGTCTTTATCCTTGATGATTACACTGGTGGTTTTATGTACAGCGTAGTTTGGTATATTAAGGTAGTTTTTACTTGTAAAATGCATTTCTGATATCAACATGATGTTTATATTTTCATAGATTAAAAATGCTTGTAATTCAATGCGTCTGCATAAGACTGTTTGCATTCCAGATAACGAGTTTTAGACTGCTCATTATGCCATTATTTTTTCTATTACAGACAAAAGATTTAACATAGTATCATTCTTTGCATCAGTTGTTCCATCATATGTTCGAGTTTATTATTTGTGTTTATTTCGTGTATGTCTTCTGAGCTCTGCTTAACCAAATGTTTGTTTTGATATTTCTATCTAACTCTGCTCGTTTTGTTTTGATATTACCTATGCATATTTTATATTTGGTTTAACTTTATTGACGTTAGCATTTAAATTTGAATTTGAATTTTGATGAACTTGAATACTGTTTTGATTTAACGTTTTTTCTCTTAGTCTAGAAAATAGTCTTTACTGTAATTGCTTACGAACTGGGCATCCTTTATAGTTTGTGGTGTGATTTCCTTTACAGTTTGCACAAGTTACTTCTTTTATTTTTTGTTTCATTAAACATTCTTTAGTTTCGTCTAGTTTAGCACATTTCACACACAGAGCATTTTTGTAACAATAGTTTTTTGTATGCCCATATTCTTGGCAGTTTTGACATTGAAAAATTTATTTTTTAACGTTCGGTGGCTCAAATTTTGCTTACCGTGCTTAATAGTCGGTTTATTTTCTTGGCTTTTGTAATCATATTCAGTTTCAACTGTGAAAAGCGGCAATGGTATTTTTGTGATACGATGCCTTATATTATAAATATTTGTCACTTTATATCCATGTTCTGCAATGGCTACTTTTAATTCATCTATATCAACTAACGAATGAACGCTTTTTCATATAACTTGGAAATCTTTTTCTTCTTTGTGTTGTTTAGTGTAATGAAATTGCGTTTTTTTTTCTTTAAATGCAGTAATAATTGGCAAATACTTTTCCTAAGTTGTCAGCTGAATTTTAATTGTTTTGTCCTATCACTTTTAAGGTGTAATTTTTTGTTTAGATATTGTATTCAGTAGATTTTTTAACACTTTAATATTCTCTACAGTATAAACAAGGGTCGGAGTAGATTTAATTTTCAACTTATTTGCTTCATTGTTTTCTTGTTCACTATGATTTTTTTTTCTTCAATTTATTGTTGTATTTCGCACTTGTTACTTGTGTTACTTAGCCAGTAGTCCGATAATTGGACTTGTCGTTTTTTGTTTTGAGTATGGTTTTCTAGGCTGTTTCTTTATTTTTTGTCATTTACGATTTTTCAGTTTTCGTTGTTTTTATAAGGAGAGATCTTGTCATCTTCTGACTGTGTGGCCATTTCGGCCGTTGTTTTCTTTTTTTCGAGCTCATTAAATTAAACTTTGAATTCAACTGTCACTTTACTGATTAGTTAATACTTTAGCTTTTCGGGTAGAGCGCAGTGTTGGTACGTCTGCACACTTCGGTGATCAGATGCTGACTTATATATTAAAATGATATCCATGTTGTTTTTTATGAAACACATAATTTGGTTAAGACACTTTTTGTCGCTGTGACTGAAATATGAACACTTGAAACATGAATTTCTATTTCGTACACTCAAAAATTCTACAATTTTGAGATTTGAGGTTAATGCAAGATTTTTGTGGTCTGAACATACAGCAAATGTCTTATTTAGAAACTTAGCTGGTGTTTCAGCTAAGTTTCTAAATTATCGTGCATTTTATTTTGAATTCATTTGTATGATAAAAATTTCCATGCACAATATACACCATAGTACCAATTTTAATATTCGGATTACACTTGTAGAGGTGTCGGGTAGTTTCTTAATTCCCGGCGTCATAATGAAAATTATATCTTTTATTATCATCAATATGTTACATAAAAATCTTACTTTGTCTTATAGTGTCTATATTAAAGTATGTGGTTATTTACTTTTATTTCGCGTCAAAAGAAGTTGTACGAGGGTGGTCCGATAAGTACTTAGCCTCACCGCCCGATGGCGCCACTCTCGCAAAAGAAATATTCTATCACGTAGTACAACCTTCTGGATGGTTACTATCAAGATTTCAGCCGGATCGGAGTTGTAGTTTATTTTTGAGAGCGTGTGAAAGCAAGTGTGTCCGTTGATTTTTGAAAAATGGAAAAAGAGTAGTGTCGGTCGGTGATTCGATTCTTGTTTTTGGAAGGGAAATCGCGCAGCGAAATCAAAAAGCGCTTGGATACTGTGTACGGTGACTCTTCTCCTTCGATGGCGACCGTCAAAAATTGGTTTAACGAGATTCAACGTAGTCGCACGTCGATTTTTGAAGAGCCACGTCCAGGTACTTCGAAAACGGCTACCACGGAGGATAACGTGACAAAAATTCACGATCTCGTATTGGCAGATCGACGATTGAAGGTACGCGAGATAGCTAAGATCGTAGGTATCTGAAAAGACCGTATGGGTCATGTCCTGCATGAAATTTTGGGCATGAGAAAGCTGTCGGCGCGATGGGTGCCGCGTTTGCTCACTCCGGACAACAAGCGCAACCGTGACAACAAACTTCAGAGCAATGTCTGACGCTGTTTAAGCACAATCCGAAGGAGTTTCTACGTCGTTTCGTGACAGTCGACGAAACATGGATCCACTGGTATACACCAGAGACCAAGGAACAGTCGAAACAGTGGACTTTACCCGGCGAAAGTGCTCCAAAGAAGGCGAAGACTGCCCTATCGGCCGGAAAGGTGATGGCCACCGTTTTCAGGGATTCACAAGGTGAGATCTACATCGTCTACCTGGAGAGGGGCAAAACGGTCATAGGGCTTTACTATGCCGAATAATTGGGCCGATTCGACGTCGAATTACAGAAAAAACGACCCCATTTGGCGAAGAAAAAAGTGCTCTTCCACCATGACAACGTACCGGCTCACACCTCCGCCGTCGCCATGGCCAAATTGGTCGAATTAGGCTACGAACTGCTGCTCCATCTACCGTATTCTCCAGATTTAGCCCCGTGCGACTTCTTTTTGTTTCCCAATTTGAAAAAGTCACTTGCCGGGCAGAAATTTAAGTCGAATGAGGAGGTAATCGCTGCCACGGAAGCCTACTTTTCAGACCTCGAGGAAACGTATTTTTCAGACGGGTTAAAGAAGTTGGAGCATCGCTGGGCCGAGTGTATCGAACTAAAAGGAGACTATATTGAAAAATAAAACGCCACGTTTCCAAAATTTTCGTTTTTCTTTTGTAGGCTAAGTACTTATCGGATCACCCTCGTATCAGTCTCGGTATCAGATCCCAATAGCTACATGTATGCAGTCCTGTTAGTCGCCAACGTAGTGAAAGGATTCCATCGTTATGATAATATTGTTCGCGAATATCCTAATATCATGCCAGCGTCGTACTTTGGTCGAACGAGAGCACGTAAGAGTCATGTAGCAGCGGCTTGCACAAACTTTTTTAATTGCGTTCACGTGGTATCTTCCATATTATAACTCTATATCCCTCTCTGTTTCCCTTAACTATTTACTCGCATCTTCTCAAGCTCACAATATTTCATGAAATTTGAATTGCCTTGTTAATTTAATTATCTACTTGTTCTTCTAAATATTTTGTGTATTGTACATTTCAGAATGATGAAGAGCCAAGTTACTTAGTAATGACGATCAAAGCCATTGATAAAGATTCGGGTGACAATGGAAAAGTTAGTTATCACATGAAAGTTGGCAATAGAAATGTCCAAGAAACTGAGGAATTTTCAATTAATCAGGAAACTGGAGAGTTGCGGTCTAAAATAATTTTAGATCGCGAAACTAAAAATAAATTTGAGGTACAAATTTGACGTTTTACTAAAATCGTCTGTTATGTGATAGCAATTGCAAATCTTAAAAAATAAATCTAATTTATTCCAGATTGTTCTGGTCGCTGCTGATCATGGAACTCCTACCGCTTATGAAACGCTTCGCCTACTGACTATTGTTCTCATTGATGCGAATGACAATGCACCAGAATTTTTTGAAGAATACCATTATAGCGTTCCTGAAAATCATCTTAAGAATTATTATATCGGTAAAGTCACTGCAGAAGATAAAGATGAGGGAAAAAATGCTAAAGTATATTACTATATAAAGTCTGGTAAATAGAGATTAATATATATTTCCATCGATTAGTACAATTTATTATGAACAAGTACAGGTTCTAAGTTTCTAACACATATTTCATTTTTTAGGAAATAAGAACAAATCTTTCTACATCAATAAGTCAGATGGAAGTATTTATACAAATTGTTCGTTTGATCGTGAACAGTACGACAGTTATCTGCTTACAATTCTTGCAGCAAATGATCCAGATCTTTATATCGAAACAAAAGATTTCGATCATTTGCGTAAGAATCCAGAACATGGATACGTTAATGTCACTATTAAAATTTTGGATGAGAACGATAATCCTCCAATTTTTCAACAAAGTACCTATTATGCTGGCGTTAATACTGTAGCAAATATAAATGAATTAGTGACTAAAATTACAGCATCAGATGCTGATTTAGGTGAGAACGGCACCCTTCAATTTTATGTTGCGAGTGCTAACCTTTACAAACATGGATCGTATTCATCAAGTGGATCAATTGTACCAAGTCCATTTAATATTACTCATGACGGAAAACTTGTAACAAGCAGTTACATGGCTGAATATAATCAAGACCGTTTCATTATTGAAATTGTTGCTAAAGAAATTGCTTCACCTGAGAGATTCGTAATAGCCAAAGTTTACGTAAGTTTACACCTTTACATTTTCTATTTAAATATCATAATTAAGATTTTATTGAATAATGATATATTTCAACATTAGATATGGATATTCGAGCCACGTCAACTTATACGTGTCATAGTATCTCGATCACCGGAAGAAGTAAATCGTAATAAAGATGAAATAATATTAAAATTGTCCAATGCTACTCGTAATAAAGTAGTAGTAGATGATATACGTTATCATGTTGACTCCTCTGGTCATATTCGTCGTGAATGGTATGTATGGCTAAGTAGTATATATCCAAAATCAAAGAGCACTTTATAAAAATTTATGTATCGATAAACACTTTTTGAAATATTATATGTATATTGGGTGATCCAAACCACCTATTTACTAATTCTAGAAGTAAAAACACTGAATTATGCAAAAAGATGACTTAGATGAAAATTATTGGTCTCTGAACGCCATATGATATGACGTCCTTGTCTTTGAGATTAACGATTAGGTTTATAGTCATTTGAAGGTTAACTTAATTTTAAAAATAGAATCCCTGTTTTGGACCTCAGATTCAGAAAGAACGGCAAGTTCTGAGTTCAGGTGAGTTCACTGGTAGTCGGAGTTCGAATTGCCCTTTAAGTTGTGGAGAGGTCAGTTTTACTATTTTTCTCAATCTTTCCATCTAAATGACCAGACAAGAATTAGCGGAAATTGTTAAAAACAAAAGTGGCTAATAAATGAGGAAACAAACTAATAATCATGCATTTGACCTTGCAGGTCATTTTCAAGGTTATTTTAAAGTCAACTTTTTTTTTTAATAGTCATTGCAGATTTTGAAAAATGAGATATTTACTTTTGAATTTTAAGGTTATTTTCAAAGTTATTGGGTTATTAAAAAGCAACATCCCACCCTGCGTACCTGTATTAAGGGATTTCTCTCACGACTCACAGGTCCATCGCTTCGACGTATCGTGGCACGTCTCCCTATTGCGTTTCGGTCGTCCCCGCTCACGCTGATAGTATCCGTTATTTGAAAAAGTTGTTTCCCGGTTTTCGCTCTAATTTCGGATTTCACTTTCTATGGAATGGCTTTTATGACTGGCTGATACTGATGTTTGCTCTTTCGATTTAATATTTTTGACTTTTAGGTCAGGGCGGGGTCTCGTCTAGCCGACAAGGCGATTCCCCGGGTAGTTTTCAATATTCATGCCAGTCATGCCATACATTCGAATCAAGCTCCGATATTAGGCTAAATTGGATATTCTAACTCGCGTTCAAATTATCGAACTTCGGAGTTTAATTCTGAAGTTCGATGCTCAAAAATTATCGTTCAATATTCAAGCTTTATTAGCTTGCCAAAGTACAAAAATTAGATTAGTTATTGTGCGAGTTTTTGTCCTTTGGTTAGGGACCTTGTAAGAGGCGGCGTTTTTCTACCGTAGTTTGTAACTACTTTTCTGCGCTTTTTCTTTGTTATAGGTGCTCCTTCCCTGGGCTCTATAACTTTTCTAGCAAAGTCTTCAAAGACTTTGTAGATTTTCCTACTAGATACTAGGGCCGTTTCCGGGCAATGCCATGTGTAGCCCTCCTCTTCAACGGCCTCTATTAATGTCTTTCTTAGTTCCCTTAATTCTTCGCAGTTAAAGAGAATATGACTTTCGCTTTCTATTTCTCCACAACTACACAGTTAGTCTCCGCATAATCCTCTTTTATGGAGGTATGACTTAAAAGCACCATGTCCAGTCATGAACTGTACTGTGTAGTGATTAGGGTTTAGCCACCTCTTCTTTAATCTATCCTTGATTACTGGAAAATAACAGTACGTTCTCCTGACATTTGTGTCTGACTGCCATCACTCCTGCCATACCCTTTCGATTTCATCGTTGATGAATTGTATGGCTTTCGAGATTTGTAGTCTGCCCGATCGAAGTTCCTCCGATTATTTTCTGATGCAGTGTTATCGATTTCCCTTTCCTGACGCAGTACTTTGCAACTCTCCCGTCGAGTTCGAGAGCTATTGGTCGGGTGGCTGCAAGTACGTGCGCCGCTTCATGAGAGATCGATTTGTAGGTTTTGAGTGTTTTGCAAAGAACTGATAGCTGCAATCTTTCTAAAACAGATTGCTGTTTGATGTTTGTCCTTTGCCACCAGCCCGCAGAGGCATATATAATTTTCGCTAGTAGGAAGCCATTATATATCTTTTTCAAAGATTTAAACTTTAGGCCCCAGTTCGCTTTTGCTATTTTACTTAGCTCGAAGTAGGTGTTGTTGCAGTCTTGAACCACGTTTCGAATATGTTCTTCCAATCGGAAGCCCTTCGAGATCGTGATTCCTAGGTACTTGACTGTTTTGTGCGTTCTAATGTTGTCTTTCCCAATTTTGACTGTAGGGCTCCTATTCTCGCTTAGTTGGCCTTTTAGCCATATTAGTGCTGACTTTTGTACTGCCAAATTCATTTTGTCAGACTTGCACCAATCCGTCATTATATTAATGATTTCTTGGGCTTGTCATTCAAAATCAATGCGTGTCGTCGCCTTAATGATGGGAAGTACATTGTCTGCGTAGGCTAGTACTTTATATCCTACGTCCCTGATTGCCAGAAGTAGATTGTCAAAGATGACATTCCAACCTACCGGTCCAAATACTGAATCCTGAGGGCACCCCTTTATCACTGTTTATAGTGTTTCTTCGAAGTGAGCATATACGCCCACTTCTCGATCACTGAAGTAACTCTGGAGGAGCTTGTAGATGTTCTTCGGGTAATTTCTTTGTTTCAATTGGGAGAGCAGACTTGGCCACCATAAGGCATCGAATGCTCCTGAGACATCCAGTGGAATAGCGGCTAAGTACTTGATCGACGGATCAGATTCTTCCTCTTCTACTATTTCGTATAGTCTTCTAATAACATCCTCTGCGGATCTATTCGCTTTAAAGTCAAATTGATCCTCCGAAGACTAGTCCGAACTATTTAGAATGTTGGACATTTTTTGAATCATAAGCCTCTCGAGTGTCTTCCCAGCCATGGGGAGTAGACATGCGGGTCTATATTATTTACTCTCATTCTCGGGTTTTTCAACCCCTTTGAGCAACGTGATTAGCATTCCACTTTTCCATCTTCTGGGGAACACTCCGCATTTTAAGCAGGCGTTGAAAAGTCGTGTCAGTTCCTGGTGTAATGGTTTTGCATTAACAAGCATTTCTGACTATTTTATCTTTGCCTGGTGATTTCCCTGCCTTATTCGCTTTAAGGGCCATTTCAACTTCCCTTGTTAGGAAAGGCGTTGCTTCGGTGGTTACTGGAACCTCCCGCATATCTCTGCGAATCTTTGCATGTGCATCATTTTCGCAGTTTGGGTCGTCGTCAGGCATTAGTCCTTCCAGTAGAGCCATGCTTGTTTCTTTCCAGTCTTTTGTAACTGAACCATTATGGTTAACCGTGCACATCGCTTTTGAGATTTTGACTTTGTTGGATGCTCGTTTGTATGGATACGCCCAAGCATTCTTTTCGCTTTCAATAGTGCATAAATCTCGCCAGATTTTGCTTGTGGCTCTTTTAATAGCCGTTGCATATTCCGAAATCAATTGACTCAATTTTTCAAGTGATCTCTGGAGGGCTTTCCTTTGTTTTCTATTCGGTCCTTCCTTGTTTTTCAGAGCGACTATTTTGCGTTGTCTTTGTATCGCTCGCTTCTTACTTCGCAAGTCAGCATTCCACCGGGGTTGAGAGCGCGTTCTTCTCATTTTTGATGGAATGGAGTCCTTTGCTACCCTTATTAAAATCTCTTCAAATTTTAAAACATATGTTTCGATGTCTTCAGAGGTTTCTCAAGGGATCTTAGATACGTTCTCTTTCTCGAATTTACAAAGTCTCCCAAATTTCTCCCAATCAGCTTTTCTTATATTAAACCTTGGTTCTATTGTTTCTACGGTTCATATGAGTCTGGCTGGTTGTGAGGCAAAATCCATTTCGATCACTATGGGCCTGTGGTCACTGGTGGTCCATTCTTTCACCGTCCAGCTAGCCAAGAGGTTCGACAGATTTGATGTATGCAAAGTTACATCGATATTCGTCTCTCCCCTCGTACTACGGCACGTTGAGAATTGGCCCTAACTGTTAGCCACCATTAGCCCATATCGGTCTATGAATTCTTCAATGACTATTCCATTCCTATCCTGTGTGTTAGACCAGATCTTTGACTTGGCGTTTGCATCCATTCCAACCAAGACTCTTTTGCCTTTCAATTGTTTCAGAGTCTCAGCTAGTTTGTCAAGATAGGTCTCCTGCTGTGGCTGAACTGGCAGTAGACGCTTATGAAATAAATTTCACCAAAGGCTCCGATTACTTGTGCACAAACACAGTAGGAGTCACACAGATTAGAAATCTTGGTAGCTGTGACCTTGTGCGGATTGTCGAGTATCGCAGCTTGAATCGTTTCGCCTTTTTCGGCTCCGTGAATGGCCGCGATACTGCCCATACCTGAAATCGCGTTATTCCAGTGGTATGGTTCTTGCACTAGTGCCACCTGTATATCAAGATTTCTGTCTGTCATGATCCCAAGCTCATCGTTGGCTACTTGCCTTTTGTTGAGGTTCAATTATATGATCCTCAGTTTCTGGCCCAGTTTGGGATTTCGTTGTGCGTTCGAATTAAACCTCTTAACTGGTGGGCAATCGTCTTTGCTTTCGTCTAAATCGATTGGTTGCGAAGGAAACTGAGTTGACGCCGGAGTGTTAGAGCAATGCTCTGATTTCTCGACAGTCGCCTCCTGCTTACGTTTCCTTGCCTTTCTATACCTAGAATGGTTGACCTTATCGCTTTCGAGGTACAACGCAATACCTAGTTATATTTTGTCTACTTGAAATCGCTAGTGGCGTTTCTGAAGTGTGGCGTTCGATTATTAGTTTTAGCATTAACGTGTGCGTTCAAATTACGCGAGTAGCGTTCGAGTGCGAGCAATGAGTGTGTTTGTGCGTGTTGACTTGAGCTTCGTCACCTTATTGAGTTTCCCCATGGTTTTCCATGGCTCTATTATTTACAATTGATCGAGATAGCTATTTTCCTAGCTTTTCTAACTTATTGTTGGTTAATCTATTTTATTTTTGTTTTGTTTCATTTTGATTTTTGATGATTTGATTTGATTTGATTTTTGATTTTTAATTTTTACATCTATAATTCTTTTTCTTAATTTTTAATTTTTAATTGGTAGCTTTTATTCTTATTCTTAATACTACTGCTTAAATTACTGCTTAAATTACTATTAACTGCTTAAAACTAATT